GTTTCAGTTCTACTTTCCTAGGTCACGTTGGCTATGTGCCACTCCCCACTGGGACTGAGATTTCTCAGGACAGAACTTCAGCTTCTCTTTCCCATCAGGTGCTGGGCCCATGCCCCATGGGTCCTTAACCCCTGTGCTGACTCTCCCTCTAACCCATCATGAGGCTAAGGTCTCTAGGTGGGCAGGGTGACCAGATGTCCCTGACCACTCTCAAAAGCGTCCTGGTCAGGATGACAAGATGGTGTTTCCACCACCGCAGTTTGTAGGACACCCACACCTCACCTTTGAAGTCCCACAGAAGGCCAGAATCCTGCATCGTCCTGAATGGGGAAGGAAATTGAGGGAGTAATGCCAGATCAGCTGACTCATGGGCCGTCCATTCCCCAAAGTGCCTGCGGGCCCTGCCCTGCCCTGCCCTACGAATTAAAGCTTTTCCAGAAATACCAGCTGCTACTGTCTGGGGAGGGACACACATTAGATTCTAGCCCTGCTGTGAGGCGTAAGCCCTGTAATTTCCAGATCTGAGCTGGATGACCATTCCTCCTCTTTCCTTGGTCAAGGTTCCTCAGGCCTTAGAGATTAAATGAAATCTCCAAGTAATTTTTTAGCAGATTATCTCTAGGGCACAAAGCCAAAGCAGTGGAAAAAGTGTTGTCCGGGGAGTCAGGATGCTTGGGTTTTGCCCCAGCTCTAGTGCCTTGCTGGGTGACCTTGGAGGAGTCCCTTGACCCTCTGGGTCTCAGTTTCCCTTTCCATAAAGAGGACCATTGGCCTGGGGGCTCTCTGAGGGACTGTAAATCCTATCTTAACTGGTGTTGGTGCCTTGGGGCCAGGGTTTTCTCAGCCCTGCACTGCACTTGCCACCCAAGGGCCCTAGCCAGGGCTCCAGTGAGGCCTTTGCTGGTGGCCTGAGGGGGAGGGGGTAGTTTTGATTGTCACTCATTTTCTGGAAGCAGCGACATTTCCCTTGGAGACATTGGCTTCATAGCTTCATGGCTTCAGCACATGACCCAGGCCTTCTCAGCCACCTGCTAGGTTCTGTGAAAGGCAGAGCCCTGTGGCTGGGCTTCCTACCCCGGCATGTGACCCAGGCAGTGGCAGGCTGTGGCTTGCAGTGAAATTCTTCAGAGCTGTTACTGCAGGTGGGAGACTCGAGGCGGTGGGTAGGAGTGGAGGAGGGCCCTGGAGGGGCTGTGTTTGCCCCAGGGAGGGTGGCACCGATGGTACCTCCTTCTGGGCCTCTAAGTGAGGCCTGCTTGAGGCCATGATGGTCATCTCCCTTTTTACAGTCAGGAGGAGGTTCAGTTAAAGCCCTGGATGGGGAAGGATTCTTACTTCCCTCTCTGCTTTTCCACATTTTCTCAGTTGCTGGCAGTGAACACACTGTGACTGTAAACAGACTGCTTTGGTAATGGGGGAGGAAGGCTGCTGTTCTTATTTTTCAATTCCATTCCTGAAGCCATCAGCATCTACCACTCTGCTCACCTCAGGACTTTTTTCTAAGGAGCCCAGTGCTGGGTGGTGGAAAAAACGTTAGCTTCAGAGTCAGACAGACCTGGGCTGAAAGCCTGGCCGCACACCTAGCTGTGTGTCCTTGGGCAAGTTATCTAGCTTCTCTGAGCCCCAGGTTCCTTATAAAATGCAAATAATAATAACAGTCATTCTTACTGCACACTTAACTTGTGTCAGTCACTGTTCCAATCCATTACATGTACTTTGTTTGTTTGTTTTGGGGAAGATTAGCCCTGAGCTAACATCCATGCCCATCTTCCTCTACTTTTTATATGTGGGATGCCTGCCATGTCATGGCTTGCCAAGCAGTGCGTAGGTCCACACCCGGGACTGAACCAGTGAATCCCAGGCCACCAAAGCAGAATGTGCAAACTTAACCACTGCGCCACTGGGCTGGCCCCTCGTTACATGTATTAACTCATTTAATCCTCACAACAGCTCTATAGGGAAGGTACTATTATTAGTCCCAGTTTGTAAACAAGAAAACAAGGCACAAATATCTTGCCTGGGTCACTCAGCTAGTCCATAGTGGAGCTGGGATATGAGCCCAGGCCCTCCAACCCCAGGGCCTGGACTAGCCTGCCCTCCTAGTCACACTGGGCTCCAGGCTGGGGAAGTTTCAGTGAGAAGAAGTGTGCAGAGGCTCAGAGCCCAGCCCATTGCAGTCTCAACCCTCCTCCTCCCTCCTCCCAGGGTCAGAGGGAGTGTAGATGCCCAGCAACATCGGGAATATTTACTTCCAGGGAAACACTGGGCTTCCGAGCTACCGTGTCACCATGGGGGTCGAGAGCTGGATAGGGCCTGGACAGCCTGCACCCCAGCCTCTCACCGTGCCCTCAGTGATGGGGACAGAGCAGCCAGAGAGGCGCAGTGCCTTGCTCAAGGTCCTGCGGCTCGATTGAGATGAGCGGGAAGTGGGAACCCAGCCTACAACTCCCATCAGGGCCCTTTCTGTGGACCACTGCCTCCTGGGCCAGGAAAAGCTCCTCAGGGAAGCAGGGGCCAGGCTCCGACCTTCTTGACTTTGGATGTTGTCAGACACTCTCTTAGCACCCGCTGGGTAGGCTGGGGCTGGGGGGCTGTGGGAACACCTGTGGGTTGTGGGCAGACCAGAGGAAGCAAGAGCCCAGCCCACAGCCAGCAGAGCAAGCTTGCCAGCAGCTGGTGCGGGGAGGGGAGCCCATTGTTGGCAGTGGGCTGGGGATCTCTCCTCTTCCCCAGCATTGTCATCACTGTCACTCCAGCCGCTGCGGGCCCCCTAGCCCTGCCACCAGCATGGGGCTGAGGTGATCATGGTGATGCGGCTGTAGCCTGGTTACATTTGGGGGGATTGTGGCTCTAGGTACCGGCAAAATCCAAAACTGTGGAGCAGATATAGGCCCATGGTGGGGAGAGGGATGAGGGGTGGAGAACAAGCATCCCCTGGGACGTTCAGGCTCTGGGGCAGTTTCTCCTCTTTCTTTGTTTACTTGAGGAAACCTTCTCTTCCCACTCTTAATAAATAAGAGGGAAGCAAAACTCCTCAGCATCCCTCACCTATAACTTCCTCCTGCTCACGGTTCCCGCTGACGCAGTGCTGACTAACACGTGCCAGGCCTGTGCTGGGCCCTCCACACACCCCGTCTCATCTGATTCTCACAACAGTCCTACCACGAAGGTGTGCTTGTTCTCCCCACCGCCTGGACGAGGACACCGAGGCGTGTAACTGACCAGGGTCTCAGAGGTGGTTCAGCAAGTGATAGACCTGGGATTTGACCCTGGTGTGTCTTCTTCTCGATATTTTAGGGCCTAGATTGTTGAAATATTTCTTCTTCTTTTTTTTTTTTTCCTTTTTAGGGAAAATGTTTTAAAACATTTTTAAAAATTTTAAATAAAATAGCCTTTGTGAGATATAATTCACATACCATACAATTCACACATTTACAGCATATAATTCACTGGCTTTTAGTAGATTCACAGGGTTGTGCAACCATCACCACTATCAACTTCAGAACAATTTTAGAACGTCATTACCCCCAAAAGAGAGCCTGTTCTCCTTGCTTGTCACCCCCAATCCTCCCATCCTCTTAAGCCTCTGGAAACCACTAACCTCTGTGAATTTGCCTATTCTGGACATTTCATATAATTGGAACCATACAATATATGGCCTGTTTTGACTGACTTCTTTCACTTGGCATAACGTTTTCTGGGTTTATCCATACTATAGCATGAGTCTGTATTTCATTCCTCTTTATTGCTGAATAACATTGTATTGTGTGGATATACCACAGTTTGTTATCCGTTCATCACGTAATGCACATTTGGACTACTAGGAGTAATGCTCCTATGAATATTTATGTACAGTTTTGTGTGGATGTATGTTCTCAATTCCCATGGGTATAGACCTGGGAATAAATGGTAATTCTGTGTTTAACCATTTGAGGAACTGCCAGACTGTTTTCACAGTGGCTGCACCATTTTGCACTCCCACCAGCAACGTAAGAGGGTTCCAATTTCTCCACGCCCTCAACAACATGTGTTATTGTCTGTCTTTTTGGTAATAGCCATCCTAGTTGGTGTGAAGGATTGTGGTTTTGAGTTGCATTTCCTTAATGACTAGTGATGTCAAACCCCTTTTCTGATGATTAGGAATATCAGCCACTTTTCATAATAGTTTTAATCTTCTTTATTTTTTCAAAATGGGAAATGCCTTTACATAGTTTCTATATGAATTCTAAAGGAAGTTTAGTAAAAAGTTTCCATTCTACCTGCTCTAAATCCTTCCAGAGACATTCTATGCAAATATGATAAAATATGGACAAATGTTCTTTTTTAAAAAACACAAGTGGAGCATATTAAACAACTTCTCTGTGCTTTGATTTTTCACTTTATATTGTGATACATTTCAACATTGATATAGTGCTATGAGAGCCTCTGGAAGTCTCGCTGTGTCTGCAGGGTCATGACCTTTAACTTACCTTTGGGGTAAATCAGGCATTCTGGAGGCCTCTTACAGTCTGGTCTCTGTAGCAGGGTTTTCTTGTTTGTTATGTTTTGTTTTGTTTTATTTTGTTATTTATTTATTTTTTGGTGAGGAAGATTGGCCCTGAGCGTACATCTGTGCCAATCTTCCCCTATTTTGTATGTGAGATGCTGCTACAGTGTGGTTTGATGAACGGTGTGTAGGTCTGCCCATGGGATCCAAACCTGTGAACCCTGCGCTGCTGAAGTGGAGCATGTGAACTTAACTTCTTGCCGCCGGGCCAGCCCCTATGTTTTATTTTAAATGAATAGACTTTATTTTTCAGAGCAATTGTAGGTTTTCAGAAAATTGAGCAGATAAAAGAGAGTTCCTATGTGCCTCCGCCCCCCTCCCCCAGTTCACCCTATTATTACCATCTTGCACTAGTGTGGTACATTTGGTACAATTAATGAACCCATATTGATACACTACTATTAACTAAAGTCCATAGTTTATGTTAGGGTTCACTCTTTGTGTTGTAGTTTTGCCAAACGCATAATGTCACGTATCGTTCGTCATAGTATCGTACAGAATCATTTCACTGTCCTAAAAGCCCCCTGTGCTCCACCTAGTCATCCCTCCACCCCTCCTTCACCCACTGGCCACCACTGATCTTTTTACTGTTTCTCGAGTTCTGTGTGACAGGCATTTGAAGGGGAAGGCGGCCCTGTTCCTGCGATGCTCCTAGCTCCGGGGAGGCCTAGAGCCCACTCAAAGGCCGGGGGTGGGGGGTCCCCTGAGAACAGTCAAATAACAAAATCAGAACAACTTAGGAATGAGTTCAATGTTCTTTATTCAAGGGAAAACAATGCATGGATTGGGGGAGTACGTGCCTCACACGCAGTGGAGAAAAGGCAGGTGTTCACCCATCTGAACCGCCACCCAGACCACAGCCTCCTGAGGACAGGAAGGCATCTGTGCTATCACATACCCAGTGCCTGGCCCAGGACAGGCCATGAATATGGATTAGTTGAATTCATGGTTGAATGGGCAAATTTGACCTTGAAACAGGCTTGTGCCTCCCAGGGTCATGACAATTCCTTCTGTGGGCACAGCTCTTTCCAGTTGGTTTCATGGAGTGCCACATTCTTGATGAAGTCACTGTGGTCCAAGGGTCTTAGTCCACCTGGTCAAGTGAGAAGTTCAATGTTTTCAGGGCCCAGAGTTGATGAAGCTCATGAACAAACTCACAAGTCTGACATATAAACCAGACCAACAGTCTCTACCCTGAGGAAAAGCCCTGTCACGTGAATGGGATCATCTGCCCACATTCTCCCCCTGCAGTCAGGCTGGCCAGGCAAGCTATAGAGTCTGCTCAGGGCATGTGGAACCTGAACACGGAGAGGTCGTTGTTTGATGGCATCAGGCCCTGATGGCCCCAGAGCATCTCCATAGTTGGCATCTGCCTGTGTTGGGCACTAAGGTGAGTGTCCTAGCCAAGGCACCCCTGGGCAATTCTGGGCATTCTCAACGGAGGTAGTGCAGCATAGACTTCAGCCCCAAACTGTCTTGGGCTTGAACCTTAGTTCTGCCACGATCAGGGATATCCTAGGCAAGTCAGCCTCCTGAGACTCAGTTTCTCTCCCTGTCATTTGGGTATAATCAATCCTTGATTTAAGGATTTGAGATTGTGAACGTATAGTGATCAGTACAGGGCCTGGCGCAAACCAGGCCGTCAGTTAGCACCAGTTGTTGTTCTTATTAGACAATGGCAGTTTGCCTTTGTGATTCTTTCCCTCCCTCCCTAAATTCCAAGTTCCTTACGAAGCTTCACTTTTTAGAGATACGCTAATGTTGTCAATTTGATTATAGCTCAATTCTTGCTTTCCTTTCAGGCTCAGACACTATTCAGTCTCATCTCACCTTTGTTACTGTTCACCCTCCGACCCTGGCCCAGAGCAAGGGCCTGAGGGTGCTCTAGAAGTTGGAGGAAGAAAACGGGTGCCTGAGGTTGGAAGGAGGTGAAATGCAGCCGGACCTTGAAATAGGGGGTAGGCTTGCCTAGGTGCCCAGGCCAGAGAGGTTCAGCTGACAAATCAAGCAGACTGGAACTGTGGGGAGCTGTTTTTGGTCCCAGTTCTGCTATTCACTGGCTGTCTGACCTGTTACGTCACTTCCCCTCTTTGGGTTTACTAAAGTTCTCCTGACATTCACAGATGGAGGGCAGAGGTCTGAGAACCAGTGCAAAATATTGCGTTTGTGCATTTTTTCGGCAGAGTGTTCACAGCTTTCTGCAGATTCTCAAGAGGTTCTGCCTCACAGACTGGCAGACTCTCTCCCAGTGACTCAGCAGTCCCTCGTGGGCTGCGCGGCTCACTGCTGACTCACCCACACGTGCTCTTAGCAGCTCCTGTCCGAGCTTGTCACAGAGCATCTGACTGGCTTGGCCAGCCTCAGTCCACTGTGAGTCCAGCTTTGGGCAGAGCTCTGGGGTCAGGCCACAGCCTGGGGGCCGGCCAGCCTCCAGAATAGACTGGCTGCCTGGGACTGTGCTCATTCCCAGCCCAGAAGGCGGCCAGCCCTCCAGGTTCCAAATGGGACCTGTGAACAAGGAGCCCCGAGGGAGCTGTGGGCCTGGTGGGACACTCTGGCTTCCCCAGAGGGGACGAGATGACATCAGACCTCTTTCAATTCAGTGTCGAGGGACGCTCCAGCATCTCCTAAAGCATAAAAAAGGCTTGCTTCTGGGAGTATCACTTTAACTGGGTTTTGAAGGTTAAATAAAAGTTCACCAGGGAAAGAAGTAGGAGAGAGAATTTGAGGTGGGGAAGAGGGTTATTTATAGGGCACGCAGACGTGGAACAGCATAGCTTACTCAGGCAACCATCGAGGACGTGGGGCAGAGGGGCTGGAAGCATGGGATGGAGGGCACGGCTGGGAGTTTGAAGGAGCAGAGATTGCAGAGCTGGCTTAGGGCCAAGGCCTTGTTTTTTGAAAAGGAGCATCAGAGAAGCAGGACAGCTGAGAGCAAGGATGGTAGAGTGGTGCAGTGTGCTACTGAATCTCCCTCTCGGGACCAAGGAACTGTTAGAAACAAGACAACAGGCCCCAAATGGAGCCACTTATGCTAGGCCCCACATCACCACATCAACACTTAACTTAATTCCAGTTCTGGCTCTCCCAGAAATGGAATTTTAAGCCAGCCAATCAGGAATCGCCTGAAGAGCACTAGTGAGGTCGTCTGCCTGACAGACCCCTGCCGTCCCCTGAAGGAAAGTGACCTTGCCACAACCAATCCACTTTTCTGTCTAGTATAACTTCCTTGTTCCCACTCCCTTCTGCCTATTAAAGCTTTTCATTTTGTACAGCTCCTTGCAGCTCCTTTGTATCTGCTAGGTGGGATGCTGCTCGATTCATGAATCATCGAATAAAGCCAATAAGATCTTAACATTTTGTTTTTTAATGAAAATCATTTCCTTGCTGCCTGGAGGGTTGCCTGCTGAGAGCCCACAACCGTGCACCTGTCTTAGTTGCTTGGGTTGCCATGACAAAATACCCTAGACCGGGGGCCAGAACAACAGACATTTATTTTCTCACAGTTCTGGAGGCTAGACATCTAAGAGCAAGGTTTCTGCTGAGGGCTCTCCTCCTGGCTTGCTGACAGCTGCCTTCTGGATATGTCCTCACATGGCCTTTCCTCAGTGTGTGCAGGCTGTGGGGGGAGGTGTGCAGGGAGAGAGCCAGCTCTCTGCTGTCTCTTCTTGTAAGGACACTAATCCTTTGGGTCAAGGCCCTACCCTTATGACCTCATTTAATTTTAATTACTTCCTTAGAGGCCCCATCTCCAAAGATAGCCACATTGGGGGTTAAGCTTCAACATATGAATTTTGGAGGAGAATACAAACATTTAGTCCTAAATAGCCCCTCTTCAGGAATTGTCCTCTGCCAGTGGGAGCCCCCGGCCCAAGGCTATGCCCCTCGCCTGGGTAGTAGTATGCTGAGGTGTGAAGGCCATTCCTCTTGCCTCAGTTGAGGACAGTTCTGCAGGGCCATCCCTGCAATGGCTTCCCTGCAGTTCAGTTCCCCTCCTGCCCTCTCTTGCTGCCATCACTGCCTCACAGGTGTGATCCTGAAAGCATGCCCTAATAAACTTCTGTCCACACATCTGGGCCTCAGAGCGTGTTTCCCAGGGAAGCCTACCATTTGACAGATGGCAAATATGTGTCAATCCAAGAGCCCACTTTGATCAGTTGGTAAAAGCAGCTGGAGTGCTGAGTTGAGAAGTCTTCAGAAATCAAGTTCTAGTAGTGATGCCTGCCGCAGGTAAGGAGTGGGTGCGGGGACTTGTGTGCTGGGTATCTGGCATTCCTGCAGAGTGGTGCTGTGTTACTGATGCTAAATGGGGGGAGTTGTAGGAAGGAAGAGCAGACCAACGGTGTCAGAGGCTAAAGGCAATGAGAAGGTGCTGGTGGACTTTCCAAGTAGGAATTGATTATCTACTTTCAAAACGCCATTCTGGGGAGGCTGGCCCCATGGCCGAGTGGTTGTGTTCGCGCTCTCCACTTTGGTGGCCTAGGATTTCGCTGGTTCAGATCCTGGGCACAGACACAGCATCGCTTGTTGAGCCATGCTGAGGTGGCGTCCCACATAGCTCAATTAGAAGGACCTACAACTAGAATATACAACTATGTACTGGGGGGCTTTGGGGAGAAGAAGAAAAAAATAAAATAAAAAATAAGACTGGCAACAGATGTTAACTCAGGTGCCAATCTTTAAAAAAAAAAAAAGAAAGAAAGAAAAGCCATTCATTGGAACGTTGGGCTGAGTCGGATTTAGTTTGGAGGGAGACTAGTAGATATGGTGAGTGTAGGTGACTGTTTCAAGGAGTGTGGCAGTGAAGGGAACATAAGAGAAAGCACAGTAGCTGAACTGAAAGTCAGGGGTGAGAAAAAATTTCTTTTAGAATGAGAGTGCCTTGGGTATATTTATAGTCTGGGAGAGAAGAGCTGGTAGCAAGGGGGGAGGTCAAAGATATAAAAAAGTGGATGGAGCAAAGTGCTAGAGGGATGGTATTAAAAATATTTAATAACTGGCAAGGCATGGGCAATGAACAAAGAGAATGGGCAGAATATCAGCTCTGTCCTAGAGATCACAGGAGCGGATCAGCAAAAGCAAAGGAGAGCTTAGCAGCTAAAGTTTAGCATCACAAAGAGAAGAAAAGGCATTTCCTCCTCAGAGACAGAAGAGAAGAGGGAAAATAGGAAATGAGCATGAAGAAGATAAAGATAAGGTAGGGGCTTGAATATTGTTGAGAAGATCTGGAATGTAACAAAAACTCAAGATAGTGAAAGCTTAAACAAGACTTGGGTATGTTTACCTATATAAAGTCTGGCGGTGGACAATATAGAGCAGATATAATCATCAGTGATCCAGGCTTTTGGTGCTTTGTCATCCTTAACAAGGCTTCTACCTCATGGTCCAGGATGAATGCTTGAGCTCCTGCCATTATGTCTGCAATCTAGGCAGCATGAAGAAGAAAGGAGTTTGTAGCTAGGGCTGACATTTAGCTGGTACAAATCAGTAGAGTTGTTCAGTAGTAAAATTATTGAAATACTTCTGTACCTGCTGGTAAATAACTGCTGACTCCCTGATCCCCCTACTTACCCATCCCGGCGGACCACCCACCCCTCCAAGACAACAACCTGGCTCAGTTGGGATCTTCCAGGACATTCCCCCAACACTATGGCCAGTGTCCTGGAAGCATCAGTTGTTAAATATTTACGCTCGATGTGTCTTTTCCTGTTAGGAGCAGTACTTAGAAGTCACAATATGGGCTCTGTTTCTTTTACCTCATTGGCCAGAATTAAGTCTTGTGGCTGCAAGTGAAGCTGGGAAATGTAGTCTATTCTGAGTGGCCACGTACTCAGACAGAAATAGGGGGTTTGATTACTATCAAGATCAAGGAAAAAGAGCTGAAGGATCTTAGGAGACAATAGCAGACTTCACCACATGGGAGGGCTAAACAGGTGCTGAGTAGCACAGAGGGCTTTGTGAGCCTAGCTAGGGTGGTTTATTTCTCCAGTAGCCCAGGGCAGGTGGGGATAGAAAAGAAGAAATCAGAGGCTGGGAATTGGCAGGCGAGTGACTGCAGTTTGATGGGGAAAGGGATCCTTGGGAGGGGCTGAAATTTACTGGAGTGGTTGCCTGAGGCATCCAGACTAGGCAGAAAGGCAAATGCAGGCAGGAGAGGCTGAAGGCTGGAGGTCTTGATGAGGGGGATGCTGGAGGGAGAGGAGCCTGAGCTTCACTGGGGATGGGGAGGGAAGATACCCTTCCAGGGAAGGATGAGGTTCCAGGGTGGCTGTTTGGGGAGCCAGAGTGGAGCTTTGGGGCCAAGAGGGTGGGCTGGCCTTCACAGTGGATGCCTCTGTTATATTAGCTGTCCTGGCCAAGAACTCTTTCAGGTGTAGAAACAGTAACAGGTGGAGGACCTGTGTGGCCAAAAGGGGAATTATTAAAAGAATCCAACAGGTGGGGGTTTTAAGAGATCTCAGTCACTAGAAGTGGGGTCTCATGAGGAACTGGGACCCAGAACTGGAAAGCCACAGGAATCCTGCCAGGATCTCCAGGGTGGCCCATATTTCTGAGGAAAAATATCTTTTCAGTTCCCTGAAAACTTGTGCTCACAGTAGGGAGGAAATGAAGGGGATTTCCTTTTCTCCTTAAAGTTTTCCTCAAATCTTTCCTTTGAAAAGTATAAAGTAACACGTGGACATTGTAATGAGTGAAATAACGCAAAGACGAGTTAACCCAAAGTCAGCAGACTCTCTCCTCACCTCAGTTCTCTGTTCTTCTCCTCACTAAAAGTCTCACCTCTTCTGAAAGGGTCAGGGCCCCAGTGCATGCCGGACTGGAGGATCCTGAAGCTCCCTCACCAGCTCCACGGACCCCTCTGGGAAGTCAGTGGCAGGGCTTGAACCAGAAGATGGGGCTTTAGGCCTTGCTCTGTCCTCATTTCTTGGAACCCACTTCCCTTACAGGCCTGTTGCACATGAGTACTTGCTGCTTCCACGTCTTGCTTTAAAGCTGCTTTGACTACCATTGTTTTGTCCACGCTGGTTTCCTTAGTTAGCCCATCATTGTTCAGCATTTGGGATCTTTCCAGTTTCCATTATTATAAAGGGCCCTTCTGTGAACACTTTGGATAAAATACTTCTTAGCTCCAGATTATTTCCCCTGGGCATACATAGTTAGGACTGGGTATTACAGCGTCAAAAGGGTCCGAATAGCTTCACAGCTCTTATTGCCCACACACAGATGGTTAGGAAGCTATTTTAAGAAGATTTAAGCATCTACTGGCTTGGTAACAAATTATAATAATCCACTTACTGTTTTTATATTCTTTATTAAAATTCTGTCCTTACAGGGAAGGAGGTGGATGAAGGAACATGTTACTGTTGTGTTCCAGGTGTGCAAATGAAAGGCAGCAAAAGTTGGTCTCAAAAACACTGACATATTCCTTTAGTTATGAAGGAGGGGGGTATTAAAAAAGAGTCATGGCTGGTTCCAGCTCTGTCATTAAGTAGCCGAGAGCTCAATAACTCCATTGGCATGAGAGCATATGATCTGAAGGTCTCTAAGCTTCCTTTTGGCTTGCAGTATTGAAACCTGCATGGAACATGGGATGCTTGGAGCTGAGGGACGGAACTGTGTCCTAGAGCCCCACTTCCCTTGTGTTTATCCAGCTGTTGGGGTGGTCTGCCCCATGCTTGTACCTGCACTTAGGAAGCCTGAGGATGGGGCAGCCATGCAGTCTCCATCTGGCCACTGAGGCCAACCCGAGAGACGTCCAGCTTAGACCAAATCTTGTCCTGGTTTTACTTAGCCCTTTTACCTCGCCCACTCTGATGCACACTTCCCCATGCGGCTGCCCAGGGGGAAGTAAGACCACAGTGTGGGGGTGGGGGTGGACAAGGGAGCCAAAGGCTCTGAGACCTCTATCTGTGGGCTGTTGCAGGAGGATTACAGATCGTCTGAGGTGGATGGAACCCTGAGTTTGCCCCTCATGGGTCAGGTGTGACCTTGGATAAATGTCTGTCTTTTTTCAGGCCTTAGTTTCCCCTTTGGTATAGTGACAGAATGGGACTAAATGACCTTTAAGGGCCTGCTCTGATAGGGAGAGATTTCCTTCCTTTCCTTCCGCTGGGCTGGTAGGTACTTGTCCCTGGGCGGGGCAGGGGTGGAGTCATCTCTCTGTTCACAATCAGACGGGGTCAGCCACAGGTAAAGGTCAAGTGCTTTTGTGTGGGCTACCTGGGCCTTTCTTATTCTGGAATAAGATGAGGATTGAGGGCTGGAAGGGTGGGGCTACTTCCCTCTGCAAGCGGGGTCTCAAATTCGGGCTTCACTTCTGATTCCCTTCTCCAATGGCTGAGCCACTTCCTGTTCTCCCCCATCTTACTCCTCAAGCCCTGTCCTCCACTCCGTCCAACTCCACGGACAAACCATTGTAGGACCTTGGCTGGGATTGTCCTTAATGCTGAAAAATCTGTCTGTGGGTCATGGGGAGCAGTGACTGTGGATATGAAATGTTAAGAGGGAAAATCAGGGCTCTGAAAGAAGTACACACTGACTCTAGCCAGGTAAACGCTATAAACATCATTCAGGAGACCGGGTGGGTTGGGTGTTTGAATTCTGACTGTGAGAACAAGATAAAGTCCTTAACCTTCTTGAGTATGGATTTTCATCTGAAAAACGGTACTACTAATAAAAAATGGTACCTCACAGAAAAAATGTGAGGCTTAAAAGATATTTCATATGTATAATCCCTAACATTGACTTAACCAGCTTTCTCTTCTGACCCTTCCCTTCCACCACACGCTCTCGCCCCTCCCGTCCTCCCAGCCTCCTTCAATCCTCCTGTGATCCTTCTCCTCGGCTCCTCGCCTTCCCTTCGCGCAGGCGCGCTGTGAGGCGCTGAGTCAGGCTGCGGGGAGAACTTGGGTAGGCCTGGAGGGGCGGAACTTGCGCATGCGCAGTGGGGGGCGTCGGGGGCGGGGCAGGTTTTATATCGGAGGACGATCAGCTGACGCCCTGCATTGCAGAGTGCGGAGTCAGGCGGCGCCATGTACACTCTCTTCCTCCTGGCTAGCTTCCTGGGTGCGGGTAAGCCCTGAGACCCCCGGGCTGGGGAAGGGGAGCCCTACCGAACGCGGCGTGCCCATCCATGAGCGGGCTGTACTGGGCCTCGTCCCTCGCTCCCAGTTGGGGTTGGCCAGGGGCGCGCACTGCGCAGGCGCGTGCGCAGCGCCGGTACCTGCTGGGGCGGCGGAGGGGCTGCGGCCGGCGGCTAGGAGACAGGCGGGAAAGAAGGCCCCCGGCCGGCCGCTTAGGGCCTGGGGGCGAGGCGAGGCGGACGGGGCCGGGGAAGTAGCGTGTCTGTCGAGGCTGGAGTTGGTGCCGGCGCGGCTGGGGCCTCCCGGGGCCTTCCCTCAGCCTGCCTTTCCAGCTCTGGGTGTTGCCTGCAGGGTGACCCTTCCTGCGGCCCTATCGTGCTTGGGCTGGGCGCACGTGATCGAAGTGGACTTGAGCCCCATCCAGCGGGACAGGCTTTGGCCCTTGGCCTCCGTTCCCCAGTTTTTAAGAGTATTGAGGTTGCATGAAGCACATACGCATATCATTTATGTTGATGTTTGTCTTTGCATATATATTTACTCTTGATCCTACATCTTGAAGATGATATAGGGTTTTTCCGGTCCCGATGATTTTGCGGTGGAGCCCTTGTTTCACCTGCTTTAAAATGTCTTGCACAGCCATTGGCCGATTTTAGCGTGGCCTTTATTTTGGGGAAAACGTAAGTACGTGAGAAGTTGTGCACAGAAGTCTTAGACCTGTTTATTGCCCTGAAATACTACTGCTGGTTGTTAAACTCACTGCAGGTTATGAAGGCAGCGCTTGGGAACCAGCTCCGCTGCCTTCCTGGAATTAGAAGGGGCCCTAGTACCCTCCTCATGTCACTGTGGACCCCCCCCTACCACCCGCCAGCTCTTGCCTTCACATCTTAACCTCATTTAAATCATCATAGTAAAGAGAAAGGAGTGAGGTTGATACTTATCAAAATTCTATAGTTTGATAGTTATGGAGCCAGATTTTAATATTTACATGGAGAGAATCCCAAGTCTGTTTTCAGATAATATAGCCCGCTGAAGGGAAATAAACCTGATCTTTAGGGCCAACCTCAATTTCTGTTTCTAGTTAACTGTATGTAATTTAGGGGCTAACTCTCATGCAGCCATCCACATTTTAATAAAGAGTAACAAAATAGATGACGGTTCATGGAAAACCAAAGAAATAAGAAGATATGTATAGATGAAACATTTAAAATGTTAGCTTTTGGCACCTCCAAGAGTCGCTTAACCTTAAACCAAGCTCTTAAACTTGTTTTACTTGTAGTCTGTGAAAGGTGAGCTGCTTATAAAGAAGGATTTTTGGTTTTATAGTCACTGAAGAAAATTGATTTCCCACCGGGGTTGATACTGTTTGTTATTCCATGGTCTACATAATTAATGCAGGTCTCTAAATTTTCTGTACTGATGGAGAACAACTTTTTGTTCAGTATCAATCAGTTGTTCATATTGGCAGTGAGTCACTCTCACAAGGCCCTGAAGAATTCTGAATCACTCACATCACCCAAAAGGGACTTAATTAATTGTTTTGGAAATGGAAATTATACCAGAATATTTAGCTAACCAAGAGACCCTCTAACCTGAACTCCTGGGTAAAGGCGGGGGTGTGTTATAATGGCCTTGTTTTAACCTTGCTGCCTGGCCTTTAGAGTTATCCCAAGGTCATGAAATTTGTAATAATATTCATAATTGAGTTTGTTAATGAGGGGGCGTAGTGACTGCAGCCATCACCTGCTGCCTGAGAGGCACTTAGAACTTGCTCTTATGGCGTGGCACTACTGTAGCACAGAGTGTCATCCCCAGCCTGGGGAGGCTTTATGTTTTGTGTTTTAATGATGTCCTGCTGGTAGAGATACTTGCTTTTGAGTTGTTTTTGTACTTATCCAGTCGTCCCTCCCTTTTCCCCACCTGATAAAGAAAGGGAAGTGATGGTAAACCGAGGGAATTGGAGAGCATTTAATCTAACCTCTTTGTAAACAATGAAGACGTCAAGGCCCCCAGCAGTGACTCTCCCAAATCGTAGGCCATTTACTGGCGAAGTCAGGATCGGAACCCAGGACTCCTGACAGTGCTTCCTCTGTCCTGTTAACTTTTTACAAACTTACTGGGTTGTAATTTCCATGTAGAAGAAATGCACATTTTAAGTGTACGACCTGATGTACCACAGAGTGAACATACCCACAGTTAGCAGCCCCCAAGGTCAAGGAGTAGAGCCTTAGCAGTGTCCAGAAGCCTCCCTGTTTTTTTTTTTTTTTTCAGGAGGTTCATTTTATTTCATGCTTTTTGGTGAGGAAGATTGGCCCTGAGCTAACATTTATTGCCAATCTTCCTCTTTCTTTTCCCTCCTGAAAGCCCCCCAGTACATCGTTATATATCCTAGTTGTAAGTCATTCTAGCTCTTCTATGTGGGATGCCACCACAGTGTGCTTAATGAGTGGTGTGTAGGTCTACACCCAGGATCCGAACCAGTGAACCCCAGGCTGCCGAAGTAGAGTGCGCAAACTTAAGCACTGTACCACTGGGCCAGCCCCAGTGCCTCCCTGTTGACTGCTTTGTCTCACTTGCCCCAAAGGAAACCACTATGTTAGTTTCTAATACCATAGAAATAATAACCTAAGGGCTGTTGTTCAACTTTATATGAATGGAATCCTACAGTAGGACATACTGTTGGGCGATTCCTCCCGTGGAAGAGGCAGGTCCAGTGTTACCGAGGGGCTTTGTGTAAAGCGTGTGTTATGCCTGCTTACTGAAGCTTCGGTGCCCACATGACTGCCCCTGGGTAGTGGCTGACCTGCTAAATGGTGTTTGCCCAACACTGAGGCAGGTGGGCTCTCTAGGGATGCTGGATTGTATTATGTATAAATAGATATTTGTTTGATAGCTTCTTATTTTTATGATGATGCAAGACATGAATTTATGGAGTAGGCTGCTGAATATTGACAGAACTCCAGTTCTTACGTGCTAGGAATTTTGGATAAATTTCTTTGTCAGTTTTCAATCAATAATCACTTTTACTTTGAAAATATTAATATAATTCATGAAGGGTTTATTTGTATTAACCAATTAAGGATTTGGTAAGTGCTTTAATTGCATTTGACAAGTCATATCCAGTACCTCCTTTGACGGTTGAAGCATGTTAGATTGAGTGGTCTGGATTTTTTTAGGTCAGGGGAAGGAGAACTTGCTCCTCCATTATCTTGGCATGTGAAACTGTGTGGAATGGCCACGCTGAGGCTCGGCTCAGTGGGAAGGAGGAGGACAGATAGGGTGTTGCTGGCTGGAGAAGGCACCCAGTAAGGCACAGGAAGCTTTCAAGGCCAAGACTGAGCCACTTGGGCAAGTGTGCACTGCAGCTTTTAGAGGCAGTCTTGTAAAAGTCCTTTAGCAGCTGTGATGGGATGCTGTCCTGCATGTAGGCATTGATACCAGAGGGTCATGTGGCTTCCTGTCTCATTAGGATAAAGCTTGTCCTGCAAGGTCACACGTCATCTGGCTCTTGGCTGCTTCTCAGAGCTCTTCTCCCCCTCCTTCCCATCAGGTCAGGGCTGCTTTCCAGCCCCCTGGCACCTTATTGTTGTTCTGAACATTTGCATTTTGTGTTCCGCCTGTCTGGAACATCTTGCTTCCCAGATAATCCATGTGGTTTCCGCCCTCCATTCAGGTCTCTGCCCAGATGTTGCCTTATCAGAATTCCCCACTGCTCTGTCAGAAGTGGTTTGCTGTCCTGCCCTAGTCTTGCTCTTCCTTTGCCCTTGCCTCATTTTTCTTCCTAGCACTTACACTGCCTGGCATTGTATGGTATATTTATTTATTGTCTTGATCACTTGCTGTATCTGCAGCATGTACAACAGTGCTGGGCACATAGTAGGTGGGTGCTCAGCATTTCTGAATGGTGGTGTGGGGTGTAGCCAAGCAGCCAAATAGGAAGTGCTGGTAAGTTGGTGTGCATGCGACTTATACGTTAATAGTGGCAAGTCTTTATCATGATTAAATAAAGCATTTCTTTAATTTTAAGAAATCGTGTTTAGGAGTTGACAGATCAAGATTGACTTTGGGTTCAAGTGAAGTGTTGACCTTTATAATAGTTTGCCCAGGTTAGAGGGACCCCCAAATCTGTGAGGGTGGTAGGGACATAGGAGCCTAACATAACTTAGATATGCCTGGTGGCTCTGATTTGAGGTAAATCTGGAAAGGGAACCAGCCATAATTTGGGGAAGTTATTTCCCCTCCTTTTGGTTCCGGAAATTGGTTGTTCATAAATGTTTAACCCAGTGGTTCTCAAATTTTCAGTCTCAGGATCCCTGTATGCTCATAATTATGGAGGGACCCCAAAGAGCTCTTGTTTGTGTGGATTGTATCTATTGATATTTACCACATTATAAATTAAGCTCATGAAATTAAAAAAATAATCCTTTAGAAATAATGATAAACCCATTACGTGATAACATAATTTTAATGAAAATAACCGTTTTCCTAAACATAAACATATTTAGTGAGAAGAATGGCTCGTTTTAGGTTTTTGCCATCTTGTGAACACCTGGCTGGGCTCTCAGCCGCTTCTGCGTTCAGTCTGTCACAGCGTCTGCCTCTGGAAGAATTCCAGTGCACACTTGTGAGTGAGGGAGTCAGAGAGGCAGCTAATATCTCTGTATTATTACTGAGAATTTTGGCCTCGTGACCCCCTGAGAGAATCTCTGGGACCCTCAGTGTTCTCTGGACCACACTTTGAGAACCACTGGTGTAGCTGATTTGCAGGAACTGCGGGCATCATAAGGGCTAACACTTAAGAGTTGATTGTGTACCCAACACTGTTCCAGGTGCTTTTGTGTAGTGTTGATTTAATCCTCCCAACAGCCCTCTGAGGTGAGAGCAGTGAAGTCAGAATGCTGGAGCAATGCTGTGGTCTGAATGCTAGATTTTAGCATTTCAAATGAAGGCAGTATTCCTGTTAAGTACTAACTAACGTAGATCAAAAATGACATTTATAGTAGACATACTTACATGTATTTGAAACTTTTTAGTTAATAAGCAATCATGTGGGACAAGTCTAGAACACTGAAGTTCTATATTAGTGGGGTTTGTCTG